CGGTGTGCTCAACGAGGCTTTGCTCCCCGTCTCCCTGGTCTGTTGGCGGAAACCCAGCACGCGTGCAGCGGGACAGCCCAGATGCGCCGCGGCTGTCCCGCTGCGGGTGGCCTCCGAGGCTTTGCTCCCCATCTCCCTGCTGTGACCAGCAGACCAGGGAGACGGGGAGCAGCTTTTCTCGCCCCGGAGGACGCAGGCGGCGGGACCGCGGCTCATCTGGGCGTCCCGCCACTCCCGTCCTCCGGGGTGAGAAAAGCCCCGTTCGTAACTGCGGATCCGACATAAGTCGGATCCGCATAACTCGGGGACTGCCTGTATTCAATACAGCAACTTCTAATACAGTGAACATAGCTAGAGTATATAGTGATTATTCCCAATGCCAACTCCAGAGGTGAGAGTTAAGGTTAGGTGGGTGTTCACGTTAATTCTGTAATATCTGGTTTTCAGAGTCTGTGTTAGTTTAAAAACTTTAAAAAAAGAGATGCTTTTTTTCAAGCAACTTTTATTTTTCTGTTTAAACTATGACAATAGAACCTGTTTTTATTTCTTAAATACAGAACACTGTAAATGTTTTAGAGAACTTGTAGAACCTGGTCACTCCTTAGCCCCAAAATGTACTGGTATTGGGAGCATGTTCCTGTGATCCACCTCTGAAACACCTTCCGCCCAACAATGGGTGGAGGGAGAGGGGGGAGAAAAAATAAGCCAGTCCCAAAAGAAAGTCCTATTTGGAAACTGCTAGTTTAGTATTGCTTGTAAAAAAAAATGGAATTTGTTTTCCCTGGCAATACTACTTCAAAAATGCATATATAATCTCACAGGCTGACAAATGGTCATCAATGGCTCAACAATGTGTGTCCCAATCAACACAAATAATCAAATATATGTGTACATTCAAAAGCACAAACCCTGGATTCTATGTAATAGTAAAATACCCTCACATTTCATTAGTGTAACTGCAGTGTAAGAAGGAAAGAACCACAAGAGTGTAATCTCCTTGGGACAGAGCATCACACCTCCTCTGTTACATACACTGTTAGTGCTCAATGAAAGTTTACTGGATACAGCTAGCCATAAAATTTGACAACACATCCTCCCCATTTTTCCCTACCACCACCAACAGAATGAAATGATTTACTCTTCCAAAACATCAGGAGCACTGACAACGCAATACTTAAATATATGTCTTTACCAAATCATGGACAATCTTTAATAATCCCATTCTCTGCAACTCAGTTACTTAGACGTAGGCAGTTTGTGAAAATGATGGTGCTATCTCAGTGTTGTCACACTTAGGCCAAGTTTACACTAGAAACTTTTGCAGATATATTATCATTTAGAGGAGTGATTTTTTTTAGACCAGCAAAAGACCTAGGAAAGATGCAGTTACATTGCCACAAGAGTGATTTTCCTGGTATGGCTTATTTCATTCAGGGACTGGATATAACCTATACCTGCAAGATATATATACACAATAGGGACCTGTCTAGAACTGGGTAAGAGTTCTGTAGAACTATTTCAACAAGTGGGGAACAAAGGAATGGAAATACTTTTCTCCAATACCTATAAATTCTTAAAGACACTTGCAGTGACAGGATAGTGGAGACAATTACTTTTCCTTTTTTTGAAAGGGTAAACGAAAATAACTGCTATTTTCTTGCAGGGCTTGGTGCTGGCATTCGACAGCTGAAACCTGAAGGGAAGGCAAAGTGAACCGCTGAACTCCCTTCCTTTTCTGGCCTTACTGAGAAATGTGAAAAGTAGTTCTCTCTCATCTTCAGTGGGTGCTGCTGCAAACCAACAGATTCTAGGACCGAGCAATGAGGCAGTACAGAAGGGGATGGCTGTCGTGGCACCTGAAATGAATCTAGATGTAAATTGCTCATTTTTGGAAGAGAGGAGGCAGATGCAATGGTGCTTTGCTTTGCAGAAAATAAGTCTTCATCCTTGTTTCCAGTCAACAACAGACTTATCCTTTCTTGTAAAGATTGAGCAGCCTGTGTGTGAGGTCTCTGCATTGGAGAGACTTCCTTCCTCATTTTTTGATTGTGCTCCGATACAGAATTCCAGCTGTCCAAGTCTCTAGCTTCTGCCTCCATTTCCAAGGATGGAGTTTTACAGACAATTCTAGACTTTTTTCCCCAGTGATCTACCTCTTGCTTTTGCTCATCATAATTTTGATGAAGTGGATCCTGGGGATGGAAGGATGTCTTGTGTAATGCAGCTCCATTAGAAGAAAGCCAAATACCATTCTCTCCTTGTTTTTCTCCCACTTCTGCTGCCTTCCTTCTTGTGGATTCCACTGGTGGTCTGATCAGAAGACCCTCCTCATTTACCTTGTACATTTGTACTGCTTTCTCTCTTCGCCATTTTTGGAAATCTCCCATCTGACGCAGCTCCTCTGGCAGCTCCATACAAGAAGTCTGATTTAAAAGAAAAAACAGGCAGAACATGAGAGATCCCTGTTCACAGGTACAGGTCACAGCCCAACAGAATAATTACTTGTTTATTATAGTACCTTCCAAATTTAAAGTAATTCCTATCTTCAGGAGAAACTAAGCACAAAAGATTTTAAACTTTCTTCTTAAAGGAAACCTACAACAGAAGAAATAGGGGGCTTGTTCCATTTTTTGCTTCTTTATGGTGAATAAAGAACTAAAAGGGGTGGTGTTTTTTTTTTTTTTTTTTAAGTATGCTCATTTTTACACTAGAAATTTAGATTGGTCTGCCCAAAAGGTTTTCTGTACTAGGAATCAATAGTTAAAAAAGTTTCCACTCGATACTAGTTCAGCAGTGCTAATGATGTGGCCTCTTCTGGTCAATGCTCCATTGGCTATTGGGTTTTATCATCATGTCATTTAATATTGTTGGTAAAATTCCCTCCTGTGAACTGAAGAATTAAGGAAGTGATCACATCACAAGAATAGAGAGACACTGAAAGGAAGAGAAATACCCTCAAACTCACCCTCCCCCCCAAAAAAAGCAAACTAGGAGGGAAAACCATTTAAAATCTATTGGGCTTTTAAATACCATTTCAATGTTGCGATATACCCAGGATATGATCTAGACTAACGAGTTGGCCATTCGTGCCCTCTGACATATGTTGCCCTTTACAATACTTTGCTGCTATAGTCTCCATTATGGACCACTCACAAATGAAAACAGCTTAGCAAGCAAGTTGTTCCCAGCTATACCTGTATGTGTTGCAGCCAGTTAGCAACACCTTTGCTCTTACAGGTCTTGGTTATATACGGCAAGTTGTTCCCAAGAGGCTCCCAGTCTCAGATTTTCCCCCAGAGATGTATGTCTTGTATTGCCCAGCCCTCTCCTAAGCAGTACAAATTCACAAAGTCCATATTTCTTAAACAGAAATATACACGGTGCCAATACATTTCCCCAAATGGAGTTTCCTAGACACTTCAATTTAAACACCTTGGAGTAGAACCAACAAAAAAAATTGCAAGTAATGAAGAATTAAAGGTCAGAAATACTCACAAGACAAAAATAAAATGCAACTTGAACAATGTTAATTCAAGTTAAGTTTCTTTTACCACTTGCTCTCAGCAGTCTTAGTGATCAAACAGCTTAGGCCAGAACCCCTTTTCCAGTTCAATAGAGGCTTCTTTGTCATCTCTGGAACATTAACTGATAGACAGAGAGAGGGGGGTGCTTTGGAACGTTTGACTCTCCTTTTTACATTGTCAGTCACCGTCTTGTAAAAAAAATTGCAAGGAGATTCTGGAAATAAGTCTTATGGAGGTGGTGTTTTCTGCTCCTTTTCCTCACCTATTTGAAGTTTGTCTATCTTTCCTGCTTGATGACTATTTACTACTTACATGCACGTTAAGTGGAGCACACATTCCTGAATTGGAGACAGACCCGTTTGCCAACTTCTATTGTAATTTGAAATGTATTATCATACAGAGAAGTCTTAGAACATCACAAACAATTTTGCCACACGTTTTTATCAGAACAACACTAACCAGCAAATTATGAGTTTTCAGATGATACCCCCTCAAGGTATACTTCGTACACCATTTATTACAATAAGTGTGTATGGTGTTGATTAACGGCTAGATTGTCTCAAAATATATTTTATGCTAAAGATTCACACCTCCACTATTTCAATTAAGGTGTAATAACCTCACTACCATGCTCAGAGAAATCAAGCAGGTCCTTCAACTAAAACTTTGAAGGCCATCCCCAATACTTGTAACATGAAGCAAGCAGTTTCAGGCCATCCTTATACATCATAAAGAGGCAAAAGCTGCAAAATAAATATTAAAAATCCTGTCCCCTTTGAAAGGGATGTGTCAAATCAGACTGACTTCAAATATTAGGTATCATGATAAAAAGATGTTTTGTAAGAACAACCTTTAAAATGCCCACTATATATTTTGGTTGTTTAAATGCCAATGAAACAAGGGTTTGATTTTGTTGTTTATCCCTCCCCATCCAGCATTTGCACCCCAGAAACAAAGTCTTGGCTTAATACCATTATATACATATTGGTAAAATCCCCTAATCATTGCTCTCATTAATATGTACGTTTGTTGTGCAAATAAAGAAAGTCACATTAACACCTATCCAGCATTTTAGGACCATAATTCTCCTCTTTTCAGTTTTCACCCACTTAACCACCCCCTCACAAAGGCCTAGAAAAATAGCTAAACCTTGCTTGCCTTGAAGGTCAATGACTTGGCTTTACTGGATCAAAATGGCCATGGTAGTAAACTCTAGTGTAAAATGCCTTTAATTGAACATGTCTTGTCACCAGCTCTGTCCTGTTTGATCAGGAAGACAGGTGTTTAGCAACTCTAGTGCTGAGATATTCTACAGAAAGAAGAGAAGCCAAAATCTGAACCATTCAGGGCTAAGTCACAAAAACTCAAAGCCAGTGCAATCTATGTAGTAGAAGCATAGCATGCTTCCAATAAAAAGCAAACAGGTAGTCAGAGGAACAGTGGTTCTCAGGAGTAGTTGTACGAAACAGATTGCAGTAATCCATTCTAGAGGTGATCTACCATGGTTTCCTGTGTCTCTATACTAAAGATTGTGATAGGTCTGCATCCAAATAAAATGTTGCCAAATACACATGGGGGAAAAGCACTATTTGCTATTTACTACTTTCTGGGAATCAGAGCTGAGTAAATAAAGAGACTCTCTTGCTCCAGTAATATATTCTGACACAGAAAGTGCCTCCAGCATTACAAAAGGTATAATTTAGAAATCAGTTTAAACAGACTGATGTGGCTGCTGTTACCTTTAGACCCTACAGAAAAGTGATAAAAATACAGCTGTTTGCTGGGCTGGCTTTATTGTCAAAAATAAAAACCAAAACCAAAAAACAAGGCTTTGCAGTGGGAGAGAAGTGTTCAACCATTTAAAGGGACAGGATATCACATTATTTCACTCTACTTAAAAAAAACTTCCCACATTTTCACGCTCTTGTTTACATGGCTAACACTGTATAACGTAACTAAAAATTGTGGGTGAACTCCTGCAGACTCTTAAGTTGAAGCCATGATTCTGCAACTCAATAAAAGAAAACAATTTCAATTTGGGGGCACTGCTTGTTTTTGCACTCTCTTCGATAATGTGGTGATGGCAGTGCAGTACTGAATGGAACAACAGGAACAGCTGGCAGTAACAAATCAACTGGATTTCATACCAAAGTTTCATCCCAGCCAATAAGATGTGGAAGTTAGGAATTGTAACAACAAGAACAGAAAGCCCTATTGGGGGACACATGAACTCCAGACTGGTCAAATCTGCAGCTGGCCTATGTCGTTTCATAAAACAGTGTTGGATTAATTTTACCAGAAAAAAAAAAAGACAGATCTTGTGCATTTTATAACAACTCCAGGTACACATTTTACTCCAGAGCTGAAGTGGCAACTCCACACTAAGTTTCCTACTAAAAAGAATGATGAGTCTCAGGTGATTAATTTGTATGGGCTAGGATTTGGCTACAAATGAGACAATATCAGGACACTGCATATTTGTTGGGACCTGCTAAGTATTATTTTGACAAAAGAATGTAGAGCAGAGTAAAAGGGGACAGAATCTGAGGAGATTAAGGGTATGGTTCAGATGCCACTGCTGACTCCAGCTTCTGATAATACATACAATGCTTGGTCTCAGTCATGGTCACTGAAGTTCCTCTTTTTCTACATTACGAATTCCATCTTTTCTTAGCTTCTGAGGAATAGCCAAATTAGTCTGTAAGAGGAAAAAATTAAAACACAACCAATAGTCAGGTAGCACTTCAAAGACTAACAAAACATGTAGATGGTATCATGAGTTTTCATGGGTACAACCCACTTCAGGTTGTACCCACAAAAGCTCATGATACCATCTATATGTTTTGTTAGTCTGGTAGCACTTTAAAGACTATTTGTTGTTTAAGTTTATCCTTTCTTAGGTTCAATCTTAAGTGTCATCTTGGATTGATGGCTGCTCTGCGTTGATTACTAAACTGAGCAACAGGTCATGGCAACATGTCTTCTCTGCTGGTACTTTCTGAAAATAAACTGGAGTAGCCATCAGTCTGAGGGTATGTCTACACAGCAAAGTTATTTCAAAATAACTTTACTAGCATCTACACAACCAAACCGCTATTTTGAAGTTAATTCAAAATAGTAGAGAGCGCTTATTTCGAATTTGGTAAACCTCATTCCACGACAAAACGCCAAATTCGAAATAGCTATTTCAAAATAAGTGCTGTGTAGACTAGGGGGCCTCCAGCCTTCCCAGGGTGCTCTGGTGACCACTCCAGCCTCAACCAAGAACACTCCTCTCCCTCCCCGGAGCCCTTAAAGGGGTTAAATCTGGCCACAGTGCCTGTGCCAGCTCCAAGCCTGCCAGCCCAGAGCCAGCAGTCACTGCCCCTGACCCAGTGGTCCAAAGCATGAGCCAGCAAGCCACTGGCAGCCAGCCCTCCACCGCTCCCCAGGAGCAGTTTGTCAGCTCCCAGGAGCCTGCCAGGGCCCAGAGAAGGCGGGCACCTTCCTGGTCCAGGGTGGAG